AGGATATATTATGTACAATAAAAAAAAAATTAAAAAGACAATAAATCAGGCAATAAAGAAACAGTGTCAATAGTAGTGCAGGTTTTTCAGTCCTAATGCAAGTGACTTAAAGTGACTAATTGTACAGTCTGACAGCGGTGGGGATAAAGGCCCTGCGGTAGCGCTCCTTCTTGCATTGAGAGTGTCTCGGTCCTCAGCTCCTCTACAGTACTGCAGACTACCACCTCAGACTCACAGCTGCGCAGCCGCACATACTGTGGTCGGTCCGAGAGGTAGTCGATGGTCCATGCAGTGAGGCTACTGTCCACTCCCGCGTCCTCCATCTTCCCCCGCAGCAGTGCCGGCCTGATGGTATTGAAAGCGCTGGAGAAGTCAAAAAACATGACCCTCACAGCGCTCCCGGCGGGCTCCAGGTGGGAGAGCGTCCGCAGCAGTAAGTAGATGACGCCGTCTTTCACTCCGATGTTGTGCCTGTAGGCGAACTGCAGCAGGTCCAGGGTGGGCCTGACCACAGAGCAGAGATGGGTGAGGATGAGCCGCTCCATGGTCTTCATCAGGTGGGAGGTCAGTGTTGATGCTCGGCTTGGTCAGGACTACCGGGATTTAACCTGGTGTGCATGCTTTTAGTGGTAGGGAAATCCGGAGTACCCAGAGGAAACCTACGCAAGCACGGGGAGAACATGCAAACTCCATTCAGCCACCGTGCTGCCCCTAAAATCAATATATCTCTATAAGATAAGATACGGTTTTTATATCTATAAATATACCGAGCAGTATCAGTAGATTTAGTGACATTCAGTGGATATTCTGAGGTTGCAGTATTGCACATTGTACATGATTGAAGTATTTACTATATTTAAAGATCCACAGTGAGGGTGAAGAAGTCTGTCACTGAAGCTTCTCTCCAGAGCAGACAGAGTGAACTGTAGCGAAGAACAGACATGGTCCAGCATACATGTTATCACCATGTATACAGTATACTCTTGGCTCAGAATTCCGTTGGTTTGTATAAGAGCAGTCAAAATGTCGCCTCTGGGAGTTCTAGTAGTTTCATAATTGTAGTAGTCTGAGAGTTAATACTGAGAGAAAGAGAATCAGAAAAGCTAAATTATTCCAGAAAGGGTATTATTAAAATACCCTTTGATTCATTCACTCCAGTGTGCAGCTGAGAAAGTGCAGTCACGATTTGCGGACCACAATTTGCAGCAAGCAGCATCCCAGCGGCCAAGAGCCTGGCCCTCTGGCAGCGTCGCCATGACAACCAACATGCGGTAAATGGAAGCAGCAGAATCCCCATCACGACCACCATGCCTCCTCTCGGCTTCTCACTCTTCAGCTGCGCAGATTAGAACACGTCTAAGCCTGGAATTCTGCCTCATCAATAGTCTTTGTTTTAGAGCGGTGACTCCCTCCAACAAGAGCTGCTGTTTGCGTTCGCTTTGACTCATGTGAGCAGCGTTATTCCACTTTCATCTCAGCCAATGTGCAGTGCCCCGAGGGTTAGAGTTGTTCTCATTCGTAGATCCTTTGTCTCCAGTTTAGAGACGCAACCGAGCAAGCCGAAACACTTTGTAGATATGCACACTGAAGAAGAAAATACTGCCCTAAAGATTAAAAAAGAAAAATCCAAACAATGTATTACAGATATTGCACAATGCCACAGTCGTCTTTCCGTTCGTGTAAAATCTAGACGGAAGGAAGAGGTTGTTTATTTTACTGTGCAGGCAACTGTTAGTAATTTCTTTGACTGATTCCCAAAATAGTGTTGACATTTGCATACCTGCAGTGTGGCGGCAGTCATGTGAAACTGTGCTGTTTACAGACATGAGGCAGAAACACTCCAGCGATACAAGAGTGGAGATGTAAAAGCTGAAGACCAATCATTTCTATTCGCTGATTATTCTCATTATTATTATTATTGGTCTGAGCGCTGACCATTTGAGTGAATGGGGGCATCGCCAACAGTTAATTTGAATGTGCCATATGAAACCAGCTCAGACTCTGAGGAGCACAGGGACTGGTCTCCTGGAATCCGAGGAGCGCAGAGATTGGCCTCCTGCTGGGACTCTGAGGAGCACAGGGACTGCCCTCTTTCTGGGACTCTGAGGAGCACAGGGACTGGGCTTCTGCTGGTGCCCAGAGTCGGGACTAAACACAGGGAGGAAGCATTTCAGATTTATGCATCTTAAATGTGGAGCAGAAGTATAGACGCCCCTGTTGACTGTGATGTTTTTATGCTCCACATGTTGGGATTACTCATGCCTTACAAAGATGTTGTTGCATCATATCTTAACTCCCCAGTCTCTGTCTAAGAACGGCTGATGCTAATCTACAACAAACACCAGAGCGCACAGTTGTTTTCATTTCAGGAACATTGTTTTGGATCTTACCATCAGCACGAAGAGGTGAGTTTCCAGGAGATCTTCCTAATGTCTTAACTTTGTAGATTGTAGATAGTATTTGAATAGTTTAAATGCAAAAACAGATAAGTGCCAAAAAAACATACCGAAAAAAGCTTACCATTTTCTCTTTACCAAGTAGTTTGGTAAAAAGCCAGATACATTTTAGTGTATATTGTATTCATTTGTAGTGAATACAATATTAGGACTAAATGACAAAAATTGACTCTTAATTTTTCGCAAGTAGGACACAATTATTCTTAATATTGTGGCAGTGAGCCTGTAGAAAGCTGAATATACAGTATATATATATATAAAGTTTATATAAAGCTGAATATACAGTATATATATATATATAAAGTTTCATACCTAAGTATTTTAAGTGAGTAAGTTAGTGAGTCATCTTTATGTATATGGTCTTTTAACGACCGTATTAATGTATAAATGTAAGTATAACATGTTTAATTTCACAAAGGGTGTTATAATTGTTGTGCTCATTTGACCCTATTCCCAAATGGGGAGGCACCTGCCAGATCTTTTGTACATGTTTATAGTGGTAGGGAAAACTGGAGCACCCAGAGGAAACCTACACAGACACGGGGGAGAACTCATGCAAACTCCACTCAGAAAATTCTGGAGGGGGAATCGAACACAGGTCATTCTTGCTGTGAGGCACAAGCAACCTTTAATGGCACCTTTCTCTATGAAATACAAACCAACCATATTTCACCACACAGAATCACCTGTTTAATGCATTCTAGTTACAGTAAGTAAGACACCACACAAACTGTGAGTAGATGGTATTTATTTCTTGGATTCTGTTTATAGCTTAAATAAATGTACAAATAATCACCAGCCACTTTATCTCCCATTCTCCCGCCCCCCTGCTGCTGCTCCTTGTATGTGTGGTTATCCAAAGCCACGCTTGAATCCGCTACATTGCACATGAAATGTAAAACAAATCTTTGGAGTTCAACTGAGTACAGGTTGAAGAGCGCATTTGGCCATAACGCTAGTCCTACTATAGTGACACTACTGAGGACCTAACCCCTCTCTTTGGCAAACAGTTCACACGGAGGAGCTCGCCAAAGTCCAGTCATCGTTTAAAGTGCATTATTTGACACAGTTACACATCAAATATACTTTCCACAATTTTAAGATTATATTGCTGACAATGTGTATAATATTCTCTAGACAGTTTTAGTGTACCAAACAATCTTCAGTTATGCTGGTTGTACAAGTGTGATGCATATTGAAAAAAAAAAAAAAAGGTATCGGACTCCTCTGCAGTCAACCCTGGTACTGTAGTTGTCATTGCTGTTTTATTTAGTAGAAGAGAGATGGAGAGGAAATATATCCACCAGGTTTGTATGGCACAGGATGGATCAGAACGACTAAAGGGGCTCTGAATAATCTCGCCTGCGTGTTTTACGATTGGGAAATGCAAATATCCTCAATCGAAAGCAATCCAAACGCTGCAAAAAATGATCAAATATGAGGTAAAATTGCTGCTCTATTAGAGATATGCCAATGGGACAAAGCCATTTAGTACTCTTTCAAGAACTGTTGCATTATTTTCTCAATTTTCTCATTTTAAAGAAGGTACTTTTAGGAGTATTTTAAGCTAGATGTATACAATTGAAGAATTTACCTTGTTTTATTAACAAACATTTACAAGATTTTGATCTAAATGGGTCAAATACATGAAGCCGCCACAACCAGATTTTGCCGGGGTCTGAAACAACTGATTTAAGTCCCTTTTACACATGTGAAAAGTGTGTGGAAGTTTATTTCAATTTAAAATACCCACCAAACGTGTTTTATATCTTAATGTTTGTTTTATTATTGAGGAAATTGAGGATTGCTAAGTTTAACAGTGTTTTAAAGCTATCATGTATAATTGTAATTCACTGTCTAAAGATAAAGAATGTACAAATTATTAAAAAAAACATGGTCATATCACTTGTCCCACTGGCAAATCTTGTTTTAAGGCAGTTAAAACTCAAATAAAGATACATTTTGCCAAATTCGAGCCATTTTTGACTTATATTTCATCACTTTTTACAGTGTACCAAAACCCAATCTGTTGGAATACAATGTGCTTTTAAATAATACCAAAAATCCAGTGCTTGGTCATCACAATGCATTTACTGTATACTCAAATGTCACATGGCAGGATGTGTTGATTTCAAATGTATATATATATTTTTTTTTACCTGTAGTACAATATAGAAATAGGTGATTTGAAGTCTGTGGAGTCGCTAAGACAAAAAAAAAAACACACCAGCTCCTTGAAACTTCTAGACTGTCCCTAGCACTGGCTATCCCATTACGTTTATGTAGACCTATATTTATTACACAGAGCCCCAACCCAAGACCCTCGGCCGTAAATGATAGTGAAGTTTTCAATATGAGTCTCCCGGTGGAGCGTGGCCGTATACTTTTATAACAGCCGTACGTCAGACACTGCTCTGTAACTCTGGCCGCGCTATAGGCAACAGATTCAGACTGTTTCTGCATAAATCCTCCCACGGGGAACCAGTTTTCGACAGCTTCAGATTTTGAACCACAGAGGGAAAAAAATGGTTCTTGCCCAAGTCCTCACTCTTCACTTTCCTCCTCGTCTCCTTTAGTCCCTTTACTCCAGCGCTGGAAGCAGTGAACGGTGGAGGCCAGGAAGAAGCTGGTCATGATGGCCACCACGGACACAGAGATGCCAGAGAAGATGATGATGAGCAGGTCAGTGAGAGTCAGTGTGGCCTGGCATTCTCGGAAACTGTCTTTGGAGAGCTGTGTGAGCGAAACTCTCCGCCCGTCCATGGGGAGGGAGCACTCTATTCCTTCAAGCCCTGTAGGAAAAAAACAAAACAGTGTTAACATGCACATGCTCGGACTGCGTCACTTTAATACGATAACTCCGAGAGCAGTCAATCTGTCTGCTATTAGTTTTGGAAGTGTGATTGCATACGTTGAGAATGTACCTTTTTTCTGTGTCTATATGTCTTTTTTTTCGCAGACCGCTGGAAAAATGGCGCAGTGGCAAAAGCTCACTGGGGTAGTCTTGCACACTTTTTCTAATTCTTTAATCTTGGAATCTTGAATTTCTATTTCATTATTATCAAATAATCTTTTACTTTTTGAAAGGTGAGGAGTTTTACCATCAACTCTTGTCATTTTCAAGTGAGCCAGAGCTAGTTACCATAGCAACTTACTGTTTATTGTCAGCAGTTATTTTTTCTGTGTTATAGTTATAATCACCTTTTTTGTTTGTGTGTAGTAAAAGTGGGTCAAGGTTGCTGTTCTGGAACTGGTGAATGCAACACTGACATTTCCCTACCTTTGAAACACATACTGTATATATGAATAAAGGGTGTCTTAATGAGTCTCCTAGTCCTGGGAGCGGATCTCTCTCTCAATGTGGACCGCCCCAAAGTTTCTCACCTTTTCCCACTTTTCCCAGTTTTTATAGCTGTTCCTTGCCGAAAAACTATAAAAACTATAAAAACTAGTCTTTCCTGGCCGAAAAAGGGTCAAACACAGGGCCGGACTGTGTCAATGTTTATTAAAACATATTAAAACTATTGCCTATAATAATATGATGCCTATTGAACCAAGACCTAACACAGTGTACTGTATTTTAATGAATAATCCTATATTGTTGTATGGCTTTGTTAGTAATTTCAAGTGAACACATTTTCAACAGGCTCACACACAAAAACAAACCTCCTTCAAAGTTAAAACACAAGTCCTCAACATTAAATAAATAATCCAATATTTTCTTACGGCTCTGTGCTGGTCGGTTGTAACACTTATCCAATATCATCTTTCCTGGGGCCAAGACACAGTAATCAATTCGCGGGCCGGATCTGGCCCCCGGGCCCTTGACTTTGACACTTATGTTCTAACATAAGAACAGTGTTGAAGGTCCAGGACACTCAAAATTCAACAATATTTATGGACATCATCAACATTTATGGACCAATACCATTTTGCTTTTGGCGATTTCAACGGTTATGTAAAGTCCCCCGAGATAACGGCTGTTCTGATCTAGAGTCTTATAAGAAAAACATTTAGTTGAAATTGAATTGAAATCTTAATCTGACGTCTTTAGAGATCCATGCATTACATTTAAGTCACTACCGCAACCAAACTTCAAAGCTAACGCCACTAACGGTAATGTTTTCTTTTGTTTTTTTTCTTGCTGAAGGCTGATTTAATAACTGCAAGGTGGATCATAAGTCTTCATCGTTGAAATTGCATTGTGTTTGCGGCACAGACCTTCGCCCACATCACTGCTGCACCAGCGCTCCAGCTTTTGACAGAAAGACAAATCCCTCCCAACTCAGCGAAACAAATACACATTAACGTTGAAATGGCATAAAAGAGCTGTGTTATGGATTTCAAAGTGCAGCTGTGTAAGTGACGCCTGGATGACAGCGACAGGGGCACCTTGACCAGACTCCTCTTCCTCTGAGAGAGTCATAAATCTGCGTAGTCCACTTCGTCTCCGACTGCTTAGACACTGGCTTTATTGTTTCAATGGAAGGGGACGGTGACGCAGGTTTATTGGATTTCAAGGGTACGCGTCTTTTAGTGACTCTGGACGAAAACAAAGTCAGTGTACAGGTACATTTAAAGGAGACATACAGTATTTTAGCCAGATCAACTTTTTTCAGCTTCATCCAAAAAAAGGGATATACTTACTTCTTTATTATGCTAAAGCTAAAGATTTTATATGTGCTTTGTTATTATGCTAAATATTGAGATTTTATATGTTTTTAAGCTAAAGCTAGAGATCGTAAACTTGCTATATTATTTTGCTAAAGCTAGAGATTGTAAACTTGCTTCTTTATTATGCTAAATCTAGAGATTTTCTACTTGATTATTTTTTTGTTAACGCTAGAGATTTCATACTTGCTTCTTTATTATGCTAAAGCTATAGATTTTATATTTGCTTCATTATTATCCTAACGCTAGAGATGTTTCACTTAGTTCTTTATTATGCTGAGGATGGAGATGTTATACTTTTTTATGCTCAAGCTAGAGATGTTATACTTGCTTCTTTTTATTCTAAAGCTAGAAATTTTTCACTTAATTCTTTATTATGTTAAAGCTAGTCTTATTTCTTCACGATGCTAAAGCTTTTGTTTTTTTATTTTTGTTGAGCCATTGTTCATCAGTGTTCCTATTGATTATCTTCTATCTGTGTGCTCCTCTTTCCTACTGTTTTGTAAGTAGCGATGCAACAGTGACATTTCCCCACTGCGGGACGAATAAAGAAAATGTGAATCTTGATCTTAATCCATCCTAATATCAGGAACAAACACATATCTCTTCTCCTTCAAAATGCTATGTGCCACTGTGACATTGCGCTCATTTCCTGCCTTTGAAAAAAAGCCAGAACTCAAGAAGTTTAGGGAAGATTAAAAAAAAAAGTTTTAGAAGTGTGGGCCAGGTCTCAGTGTGAAATGTTTCCTAAAAAGATAAACACAGCATGAGTTTTGGAGATGATCCAAATGACAGTCTGGGTGCAAGATATATTATAAAAGATGGTTACTGTGCCTCTCAGCGGAGGTCTGCTCTCAACGAGTGATTTTCTAATTATTATGGTACTTACGTATTCTAATTGTTTTATTGTCTAATCTTCTGTTGGCGAATTTGCAATCTATGTGACATAATTTAAGACGACAGCTGCTGTGATTGTTATAAATATATAAAATACCTTAAAGAAACCCCAGTGCTTACATGGCTGAAGTATATACAGTCTTACCTCTCCAACTGAGGTGTGTTGGAGAGGTACATGTTTATTTATTTGCACTGTGGCTGTTCTTCTGATCTTTTTGTTTGTTTTATTTTTGTTATCATATATTTTAATTGTCTTTTTTAATGTTTATGTAGAAATTAATGTTTACGATTTGTGTCTGATGCAATGTGGGTTGTGAGGGGCTTTGTGTTGCCTTGTGTAGGGAAAGCGCACTACAAATAAAAGATGATTGATAGATTGATTGATATTGCATCTATATTTATAACCTGAATCGATTGACAAACTCTACGGATTCACAGGGCCAACAATAATAATACTGTATGAGAGAAAGAGAGCACTGAACCAAGATATAGCCGTTCAAAGTGGGTGGTATTTTCACGATACATGCAAATTAGGTTTCAGTTTAGATTCGTTTTCTTCAAAGGGGACAATGCAATTTAATAAAACGTTGTGTCCTTGGGCAAGACACTTAACCCCACTTTGCCTGAAGCTCCCGCTAGAAGATCAAGGCTCCTGTGGACTCACCACCTGCAGGAGGATCAGTGAGAGGCTGGTGCTCTGTGAATTGGGTGCAGCCTTGATTGCCAGTCCCCCGACCCAAAAACGGATTAAGGGGAAGAAAATGGATGGATGGATGATTAAACATGAGTAAAAAAGAAGCCAGAATTAGCCAAATATGCTTTTTTCATCTGTAGTTGTACTGTGTTATTATTTTTCACATCAACATGCAATAAATCCACAATTCTGGCAGTTTAAGGCCATCCTCAATCACCCGAGACATGTTAATCATGTTAGTGCCATATGAACCACCTCTGAGGAGCACAGGGACTGGTCTTCTGCTGGTGCTTAGAGTCAGAACTAAACATGGGGAGGCAGCATTTCAGATTCATGCGGCTAAAATCTTGAACAGTCTTCTTGAAAATGTGAGACTTCTCTGACATAGTTCAAATCCAGGTTAAAAACAGGTCTGTTCAGCTGTGCATACGACTGACGGAATATATCTTTACTCTTTTTGATAGTTATGATTTTATTGCCTTGAGTGATTATTTAAACGTTGTTGCACTTTGAGTTGCCTTGCACATAAACTGTGCTACACAACTAAACTTGCCTTGCCTCACTTTTGCTGTGGCTGTAATAGAATAAACCAAGGCAAATGAGTAAACCAGCTTGCCCTTTCACAGGTGTGTGAAAGCAGACTTGAAACCATGTTAAGTGATAGTGGGAAAGAACTTTGAATTAGTGATGGGATGGAAATAGTTTTCATTTGACTCTATGGGCTGGACTCTCAGTAACTGAATGCTCGGGTTGGATAAACTCTGCAACAGTACACAATCAAAACCTCAAGTTCCTTTTAAGAGCAGCAACATGGTCCTTTCTCAACAGATTGAAAAGTGTTTGTTGTGGTTCTTTTAAATAAGATAAGTTAGACATTTTATCTCAAGGCAAAATTACCCTTTTTTGCATCCTATTGCCAAGCGTTTGCATCAAGAGAATGATAAAAAATACGCATTAAAAGGTGCCATATTAAGCTTTTTGACTTTTCTTTGCTTTAATCATATTTACAGTGCTATTTGGCATTTATAAACATTCCCAGAGGAGTTATTTCATTGATTCCTCCAAAATTTAGTTAGAAAGCAAGCTTTCTCTTTCATTCTCGAGAGGCAGCAAACCGCCTGGACCCACATCTGTGACAATTTCAACATCAATGACAAATATGTTTTTTTTTAATGGTTCTTAAATACTGTCGTCAAAACAGAAAAAAAAGTACACAATAAATATCCTGTTTGTTGTCAACAATGATAACAATGATAATACTAAAGGTGATTGATAAATTGAGACAACAAATCACCACGTACAACCTCCTGAGTCCAGCGTTTGTCTGAAATCGGTTATTTGTGTAAGTGAGAAGATTGCTTTGCCCCAGCAGAATACTGAAAGGACTTTATCTCGATCAAAGCACAATATAATGTACCCACTTCAAATTACCATGAATTATGTAGCCAAATGATGTAGCTAAATTGAATTTTAATAATCTTAACAGGGAGATTCATGAATGGATTCCAATTAATGACGCAGGCTTGTGTA